CCAGTTACCACCTTTTGGTCTCTTGTAAGGTTACTAAAACTGTTTGGGAGTGGGTACTTTCTCGCTTTGGGTGTACTTGGAACCCTCCTGAGAGTATCCAAGGTTTGTTCTCCCCTTCATTTTTCAGATGGCCTAAGAAGCGAGGGAAGATGATGTGGAGGAATATTAGGGCAGCCGTGTGTTGGTCACTATGGGAGGAAAGAAACTCTCAAATATTTTCAGAAAAGGAAAGATCCCTGGAAGAACTATTAGACCTAATACTTTTAAAGGCTGCMCACTGGCTAAAAACTATGGAACTGTTCTCAGACTTTCCTATTGCTGACCTGTTAAGAAACTGGAAAGAGATAGCAACCTCTACTCTGTGTAAGAGGACTCTTAGTCCCTTGTGGTCCCCTCCTCCCTCCAGATTTATAAAAGTGAATTTTGATGGCAGTAGCATAACGAATCCAGGGCCCTCTGGGATTGGGGGAGTTTTCAGAAATGAGGAAGGGATTGTTATTGCTCTGTTCTCAGGCCCTATTGGAGAAGGAGACTCTATTAGGGCTGAGATCCTTGCAGCTTTGGAAGGGGTTCAAAGAGCAAGGGAACTAAATATCAGTCGGCTGATTTTGGAAGGTGATTCAAAGGTGGTGATTAGCTGGTTGAAGAAAGAGGACAGTGGCTTGTGGAGTTACAATAATGAAAAGCAAAAAATTCTTATGGCTATGTAGAGGCATTGAGATACAATACAGCTGGGTGAAAAGGACTACTAATTCTTTTGCAGATGGGTTGGCCAAGCAAGGGGTGAATAGAGAGGCTATTTTTTGGGCTATTTTTTAATCTTCTTTCATTGTAATTTTCTGATGGGGAGATAAGACTCTTTATCTCCCCCTTTTTTGTACCTAAAGCTTCATAATTCTTAATAAAGTTTCTGTTATTGATCAAAAAAAAAAAAAAAGAAAAGCAAGAAATGTTCTTGGCTCAAGAGACAAAGCTAGCTGAAATATATAGAAAGTGGATTAGAAGTATCTAGGAAATTAGAGGTCTAAATTGGGCCTCTGCACCTTGAGGAGCTTTAGGAGGCATACTCACAATTTGGAAGAATGAGGAGTTGGAGTGTTTAGAAGAGCTCATTGGAAACTACTTAGTCTCAATGATGAAGTAGAAATCTACTGAATTAAAAAATATTAAAGAAAAGTAGTTTCTTGAAGAGAGAAGAAAGAGAGAAGGAAAAGAAGAGAAGTTGAAAAGAAAAGAGAGCAATAATCTAGCCACCCCCTTCACTTCTTATTTATACTAAAAATAATAGAACAGTACAAAGACAACTATGCCCTTATAGGGCGGCAAAACATAAAACA